AACAAACTCATCTGAATGAGGCCTTTACAGCAATCACCAGGACTCAGGTTTTTGTGAGATCTGCTGAACTCAAGCCAGGCAGTTGCTCAGGTACTTCAACTAAAGTTTGCTTTTATAATTGGTTTAAACTTCGAAGTTGAGCATCTTTCAGGATTGAGCCCAATGAATGGAAATTCTCGTGTTCCAGTCTGTGCACACAGGCACTGAAGATCCCATGACACTTTATACAAAAGGAAGAACGTTAACCCTAGTGTCCCTGCCAAATACTAACTTCCTTAATTACAGTCTGCTTTCTTTAATTCTCCTTGCAGTTTTAATTAGATACAGTATTATTCTCTTCCTGTACCACATTGTCACTGGTTATTCCCACCGAATCACTTACTGTGTTAAAGGTTTTTAATCTTTTGTCCAAAGCTGACTGCATTTTAGAAGCAGGAAAATGCGTAATTATATACTGCTATATTTAATGTGTGTGTGCTCACCCTGTACAAGCCACTTGCATCTAGATTCTCAGTCATACATACACAAATATATGTATTGTCAATGCAAAGGTTGAAAATGATGTGACTTACCAGGACTTCTCAGAACATCACAGATGTGAACCAATGTAACTCATGACACCTGCAGGATAAATAGATTATTTCCTGGGACTTCTGCATTTTCATACCCAAAGATCTGTGCTTTCACATCTCTAAACTGAAACAAGAACATGCTTTTGATGCAGTGTAATTAAGCGCAGATTTTAAGTGCTTTGGGATTTGTTGGATTTGACAGTGCTATATAATTGTAAGATCACTGTTGTACACAAATCTTATATCATTGCAAATGATTAGTACTTTTAGTAAGATTTCATTGTGTTGTTTTTTTTTTCTTTTTTTGTTATAACACAATGTCAGTGTATATATTTATTTAAACTATTATATTATTATAATAATTATAATATTATATAATTATAATTATATAATTATATAATTAATTATATAATAATATAATAAATTATAATTATTATAATATTATAATATATTATAAACTATTATATTATATAAACTATTATATTATTATAATATTATAATATATTAACTATTATAAGTTAGATTTTTAAGCTATTTAAAGCTTCATATTTACAAAAAATGTTTTCTATTTATATGATATCATGAAAGATAAATGACATTATTGGTCATGGAGCACTAATGCATAACCAAACAGGCAAATCTATTTTAAAATAGTATTTCTATAGCATAACCCAAAATGCATTTTAATTTTAATTATTTCAAAAAAAGTTTATTTATGTCTACATTTCTAAAGCAGCTTCCTACTTTCCTAGACAAAAATGTAACTTTCTTCACATTGTATCAAAATTGACTGGTTTCCATTTTAAGCTTCTTTTCAACATTCTGTCATATTTGCAAGGATTTTCCAGGATGGATATCAGTGCTGGGCAAAATCAGGCAGAAAGTTGCAACAAAGTACTACTCAGCTGTTTTTTTGCCTTTGTATCTTTAAACTTCTCCCATAATCAGCAGTGTAAATACATTTCAGGAAAGATTCATTCTTCTTTGCTCACTGTTCTTATAGGTTGTGGTTTAACCCAGTAGGTAGCTAAGCACTACAGTCATTCACTCACACTCCCCACCTCCCAGTGGAATGGAGGAGTCAGAGAAGAAACGTGAAGTAGAACTCATAGATTTTGAGATAAAATCTATTTAATAAAAGGGAAAAAGAAGTGGAGAAAATAGTAATGATAATTTTTGTATATTTATATATACATATATGTACATCATATACATACATATATATACATATACACACACACATATGTATATATAAAACAAGTGATGCACAACACAATTGCTACATTCATTCTCCTGTCAGGTGCAGGACACATTCCACTAGACCAGGCTGTTCAAATCTCCATCCAACCTGGCTTTGAACACTTCCAGTGAGGGGGCATCCAAAACTTCTCTGGCAAACCTAGCCCAATGCCTCACCACCCTTACAGTAAAGAATTTCCTCCTAATATCTAGTCTAAATCTATCCTCTTCCAGTTTTGGAATGACTTGGGTTTCAGTTTCTTTTTTGTCATATCCACATGGAGTAATGAATCTGCTTTCCTAATGACTGACAAAAAAATGTCAAAAAATGAGGGAAAAATGCTGGAGACTGTGTGGAACAAAGATAATGTGGAACATTTGGGGAAATACTGCATTCCTTTGGCTACCCAATAGAAGTGATACATCCAGGCATTGATTTTTGGGCAGATATTTGCTCAAAGCCCTGGCTGCATGGGATGATACTTCAGCAATTCTACTGATGGAAGGAATCATTTGAATTTGTGTCACTACAGGCAGTATCAACTGAGTTAGATGATATTACGACCATTAACTGCGTAATCTAATTGAGCTGAAATGTGTACCACTGGCTTTGGGGTTACTCACCCAAACTGTCAGAGAGCTTTGGAATCCTCCACACTTGTACTTTCAGGTGTCTTGGTAGTGATTTTTCATTATAGCCAGTTAAGTGTTTATAACATCTTCTTTTAGATTTGGGCTTTCTCACTTGAATTCATGTTTTGTGAATAGACTACAGACATTTAACTATACTAAGATCATAAAGATGACAGTATTTATAAATTAGAAACACTCAATGATGTTTCTCATGAGTTTGTGTTGAACTGTTTAGTTTGGGTTTTTTAATATTGATTTTGACAATCTTAGAAAATTTGTCAGCAGTTAAACTCAAATTATTGAACTTGTGTACACGAATGTGCAGACCATTTAAAATATGACATATACAAACACAATGTCATATTTTTTTCTCATTTGTTAGATTATTTATGAGATTATTTTGTTTTCAGCAGTTACTATTTCCCAATTTACAATAGTAACTTAACCCTTATAATAGCTTTATGCAGTGTCCACTGTAATTAGAGTGGGACTCACATTGACTCTCATTTTTTTTCTATTACTACTAAATATGAAATTTCTGTTTCATATTATTTCAATAAGCAAAAATAGTTTATTACTGTAGGAAGTCCTTAAATGTGTCTGGAGTAAATATGAGTTTACTTTTGTAATATAGTTATGCTACCATTGAAACAAAGAAAATCTAATGTTGAATCTGCAGTGCATGCTGTAATACTTGTCAGTTTTCCTCTCAGGAATTAAACAAAGGTGCTTAACATAGAAATGTACTTAGTTTTCAAATCCTGAATATTAAACATATCTTGTTCTTGAGTAACACTCATCTGAATTCCAAACATTCTCTTAAAAAGTATTTTCATTGAGAGATCAAATATTTAATCAGATTTTCAAAACTGACTCGATGTTTCAGTTTCTAATGGTACTTAAGATTTCTCAGTTCTCTTATGTAAAAGACATCTACAATTTATTTTAAAATGAGCATGTTATTTAAGTGTTTTCAAAAAGAATTCTGAATGTTTCATTCCATTCTGGGCTAATAGGAGAATGTAATACAAACTATGCTCTCAGAAAATTTAGTAGAATTACTATTACAACAATAAAGCTTGTTTTCAATTTAAGAATTATTAATAAAAATATTGTAAGCAATACCACTTGATAATTTCATACTAAGCAAATCACTGGGAAAATGTCTCAGTTGAGAACAACTTATGGTGAGGCTTACAGTCTGTACAAGAAGGCAAATGAGCAGAATATTATAAAAGATGGTTCCCAGTAGAAATTTAGTTGGTATCTCAATGACCTATCTGTAAAATCCTAGGGTGCTTCAAGATGTATGTTTAAATCTGTAAAAATTAGTTTTCTTCTTGACCTGTTGGATGCAAAAGCAGTTTCTGAGTCCTCTTATGTTGGCCTCAAAAGTAAAAGTAAAAAGTTCTTTATAGCCTGTATATGCATTATGAAATAAAAAAAAAAAAGAAAAAAAAAAAGAAAAAAAAAAAGGTTGATTTGCATTCCTATTCCTATTTTTTTTTTTTTTTCTTTTTTTTTCTGAATGTCGACTTGGGAAAACATTGATATATTATGCAATGTTCAGTCATGAAATATTTGTTATATGGTCATAGAATCTTAGCAGAGCCTGAACTGTACATTACTGAATGTCTACAAAGACTGCTCCAAAAGTAATGCCTTCTATTTTATTATGTTGGCCCATGAAATCAGAGGCGGATGTTGGTGATACGACAGTGGAGGCTGAACCTTCCAACCAGTATCCCATTACATTTTGTTGCCGGTTGACAGATGGCAGCAGATAGAAGTCTGTCAATGGTCTTCATTCCTGAAGACCAAACATTGAGGTGGTGGCTTGTATGTTTCAGCAGTGGTGACAGCAACAGTATATTGCTTCTGCTGGTGAAGATTTTTACAGTACAGCGTGCTGTTGGTCATATCTGGTAAAAATGCATAGCTAATGATGTTTACTATCTTGAAAAATAATGTTTTGTAGCTGAGGATTTGCTCTGTAACATAGAGTGATTGTGCTCTTTGTATCCGTTGTAGTTTTTGTGGAAATAAATAGGATGCATTACTTTTGGAGTGACCTACATATGTATTTATAAATTGTCTCATAAATGTAAAATAATTCAAAGTAATACTTGGATAATTATCTAGAATCCATAGAATTTCTGGAAGTAGCTGAAAATCAGCAAGGTTATTTTTACCTTTCACCTAATTCATGTTTTAAATGCCATTGTGCTAACCCTGTACTTGGAAACTATGGCATAAAAGAATTAAAAAATAGACACTGCAGGCCATACTCTGCTGTCTTTCTGCAGCTGAAACCTCTACAAGTTTAACTTGGAAACCTGCTTGGGGAACAGTGGCATACTTTGACCCTTCTCTTTCATTGCAGTTTAATATTCCATAAGTGTCCCTATAGAAACATATATACAGTTCCTTCTAGAGAGCGTAACTTCTTCAAAGTTTATTTATTCTAACAGTGTTTTTTGTTGTTGTTGTTTTTGTTTTTGCTTTGTTTGTTTGTTTTCTCCCTTTTCTTTTTCTTTCCTCCAACTCCTCCTTAAGCTATCTAGCAGCATTTTGGATATATATAACAGTGACCAGGGAATGGCACCAGCTAATATGAGTCTCACAACTGCTTCTTGTCCAGCTAATCTACCAGTAAAAAGGGAACTCACAGGTAAAAGAACTCTGATATTTTAACATTTTACAATTTCAAAAGTGATGGTGTTTCTCTTAAAAGCTGAAAAAAAGTTCAGAAGTTCATTTCCTGAGAATTTTTCAGTGTGCAGTTTCATTTATGGACAAGGACGACGGCCGTGGAGAAATATTTTCTCTCTGTTCTTTTCTTTAGCAATTCTGAAATGTTTGCTCTATAGTTCTTATGAATATCATGCTTCTAATAAACCTAATTATTTTGGGAAACATAGTGAATTCTTCTACATGTTGGCTCCTGATCAATGCTATAAATAAATTATCATCCATTAAATTTGTTCCAGAGTAAAACAAATGGTTCTTTTAAAAGTTCACAATAAGGCTATTCAAGGTAAATTTATGTTAGTGGATTAACAACTTTGAACGTTACATTCAGTTAATCCAAAGAATGCTAACAACTGTGTACAGTTTATTAGTGTCACTCAGAGGAAACAGTGAGCTTGTTCAATATGAGTTATCTTAGAAATCTTATTAACTCTTGCATTATGGGATATGCAAATCCATATTCACATTAGTGTACTGTTTTATCCTGGTGTAAAAGTACAGAAAATTGGAGAAAAATAGTCCTCCATTTTTATATTCTTAAATAAAAAATCTTCCTTAATGAATATCTTAAGTAACCTGCCAGACTTAGCTCAAAAATTGAATACTGGTAGAATATAGATTTGCTTAAGATTTTGTTTAATAACAAAAAGATTAATGAAGTAAAATGACTAAAAGTCTGCTTTTTGTGAAAAGAGGCCATTTTGAAATGGTGACAGGATACAGGACTTGCAATTTAAGGGCTGTTTAATAAATGTTACTTTCTGTCAGAAGCAGATACGCGAGCAATGGCCAAGGAGAGACAAAAAAAGGATAACCACAATCTCAGTAAGTATACGTGCATCTTCCATCTTGTTAAATAGAGTGTATGGGAACCAGTGTACATTAGCTACCATACCTCTGCTCATTGCATCTTACCAGGGTTGTCAAATTTAACTTAGTCTGTGAACAGTCAACTACACAGCTTTCTTCCCCAAACTCGAGTTGTCTTTTACATTTTTCTTTCAGTATACCTTATACGGTATTAATGAATTTCTTTATACAACATCCTCTGTTATTTTACAGTACTGTTGTATATATATCCTGTGCATATACATTTTACTCCATTTCTTTAAGAATTAAGGTGCAAAATAGGCAAGAAAATAGGCAGACAGTGAAAAAGAAAACATAGCAGAAATGATCCAGGCTCCTCACTTGTTACTTACTGAAACATCCAAGTGAGAGACTGCATCTCTCTATTGGTAATTGGAATTGGAAAAGTGGTAATTGGAAGAGAAAAGTAATCATTCAATCAATCAAATATACAAACAAAAATTTATAAACTAGCTGGTGTAGTGAAGCAGGTAAAGCTATGGAAAAAATACATTACAGAAGGAGATCAGAACAGAACTGGATGACACAGTGCTCTGACTGCTCTGAGATAGTTTAAGCTTAAAACAGTGAATTTCATAGTTCAGTGTTTAAATATTAAACTTAAAAACTAAACAACATTTTTTAAAGCCTAGAACAGATAAATATACTCTTATTGCTGAAAGAGAAGTGCCTGTAAGATTGGGTGATTTTTCCCTCTAAAGAGTCATCTAAAGCAAAAATCTGAAGCATTCTCTCTGAAGAGTGTTGAATAAAACAGTAATATTCTCTAGTTCTCCTTTATACTTCTGGCAGAAATAATTCATGAATTACCTAAATTGGTGATTTGATAAAGTGGTAATCACCACTAATTATATCTTTCTTCTCTGGCTATTCCAGTGACATTGGAGAGATTTACAACTTTAGTTGTATGTGCCTGAAAGTGTACATACACTGGTACATTGTGCTGGCAAACAGTGCAACAACTTCCTACTACTTTGATTCTCCAGAAGGCATCCTTGTTTCTGTCTGCACATTTTTAGTGGATCACAAACAAGCCATGTAGATTTTTTTGTTTGTTGCGGGCACATCTTCTCTGAATTACCACAGTATCTGCTGCTGGTCTTGTTTGGGTAGGAATAGAGAGTTTTGGCTGGCCTAGGAAAGGTGGTGGTTAGGAGTTGTCTGGAACTGCCAGAAGAACAAGACAGTTGCAAGCACACATTAGGGATAACAGGTATTACCATTTCCTCCACAATTTGTTTATTTTTTTTTTGCTCTGAGGTCATCCTTTCTGCAATAAAGGTGTTTGTGAAATGTCCTTCAGTGCTAGAAAGTGAGATGAAGACAGTATGCCAGGATCATGGCAAGCAGACTCGTGACATCGCTTCTAGTTAGGCTCCAGGTGTATATTTCAGAGCTCAAAGTCTTTCTGGAGATAGCTCTGCTATATGAACACTTGAACATATTAGCACGTTACCTGTAGCACATTTATTAGCATCATTACCTATTTTAGTTACATTAGAGATGGTGAGAAAAATCAGTTTTTGGAACTTGATCAGAATTATACCGATGTTCATCATAAATGTCCACACTTCAGAGAAATGTTCTTAAACTTTCCTTTTGAAATATTAGATTCTCAATGGAACTGTGAAGGGAATTTAGATCTAAGAAATTGAACCCTTCTTTATGCAATTACAACAATTTAAGCCATTACTTTTTTTTTATTATTTAACAATCAAAAGTATTAAAGCTTTTATGTTTTTTTGCTATCTGATCATCCTTGTATACGTACTTTCATTTTTTAATTGTTGTTTTGGCTTTGGTATAATTTGCTGCTTGAGATTTTTTTTTGTAACCCAGTATATCACTGAAATTGTGACAGGAATTAATCAGGAAAAATATTTCAAAATTTCAAAATTTCAGAATTTCCCTTCTGATTCACTAGCATAACCATTTGAAATTTATTTGCAGGAAATAAATAAAATAGAAAGAAAAAGAAAGAGTCTACTTCTATTGGAATTTTTTTTTCTTTTTTTTTTTTAAGTAGCCAGTGTTCACTATTTTTGATGTGTCTCTTTCAGGACCTTCCCACACTATAAATGTGAATTGAACTGCAACTCCTAAGCTGTAAAACTGCATGTTTAATATACATTCTTTTAACCTCACAGTAACTAAAGACATCATGTTGTTCAATTGCTGTGTGCTTGAATACACTGTGTTCTCCTAAGAGATCCAGCGTGTTTATGCCAATGGGTTGAAAGGAATAACAACAGTACATTCAGATGGACTATAATCCTATCCCCTGAATATGGAAATTTCAACTACAAAGATTGAAATGCTTTAATCTGTAAAGCAAAATTCCTGTTTCTAGGGAGACAAAAATGTTGATACGTTTTGCCAAGAGCATTTCAGGAGGGTAAACCGTAATGTCCAGGCAGGTTTGAACTGGAGTCTGTGAGGGAGAAAGTAGCTGAGTGACACACGAGCCTAAAAGGCTTGCACGGGCGGGCAAGAAGGAAGATCTCTATGTTCTGGGAGAAGGAAAGGAATAAAAGTGAACTAGGTGGTGGAGCTGAATCTGCAAGTGATATACAAATATTACTGTGGAAGGCTGAAGTCAGCCTAGGAAGACCCACCAGGCGTCTCTTGATTGCAGTCTTCTAATTCAGCTGTCCTGGGTTCTAAGGATAGGATTTTTGTGCAGGCATTCAAATTAAGGCATTAAACTTAAAGTGAGCATCTCCATGTATAAATGTAAAGGAACATTTAGCATTCTGCTTGTGCTTGGGTCATTTCTGGTCTGGTGGAGGGTAGTGGTATTAGCATTTTGAGCTCATGGAAAGGTTGTCCAAAAAATGGGGAACATCAGAAACTGCTCTGAAATAAAAGTGGTGGGCTGAAATTGAATCTACCTATTCAGTGCAGCCTTTATTGGGTCCAAGTACCATGTGAAGAGAGCAGATAGAAGTGCAAGATCACACCAGTAGGACATTCACAAATACCACAGCCATACTCCTTGTAATATCTGTCATTCTTCCTCCTCATTTTTTTTTCTTTATTTTTTGTTTCCTGATAGAAAAAGTATAATTTGCTATTCTAGTTTATTTTTTTTTATAATTTGCTATTCAGTTTAGGCTACCCTGGAGCTGGAAGTCCTGAGTAGCTGGCCATTCCACGTACAACAGGATCTGCATTAAAGCACATGAACCAATGATGTTTCTAATCTGTTAATTTCAGCCTCATAATTGTCTTACTATGTTATCTAGATTGTAACAGACTTACTGCATTTACAGAACGTTTGTTTAACATCTCCAGTATGTCCTAGGTATTTTATTTCCTCACTGAATATACTTTCTGTGTCACAATTATGTACCAGAAATCCCCCAAAAGTTATTTTGGGCCACTGAAAAATATGATATTTCTACATATGTATGTGGAGAAAACCTTGTGAGAATGCAGGGGAGAAGTCTCTCTACATTAGTTAAATGGAAGCAGAAAAGTGACAGGACTTCTGTGCGCTCCATTCTGGATTCCAATATTTCAAGAAACCAGATTGAGAGCACAAAGAGGGAGAACTACTTCTAAGAATCACAGAATTACAGAATCATAGAATGACTGAATTTGGAAGGGACCTAAAAAACTTATCTTCTTTTTATGTTTCTAACTAAACTGGAAGTAAATAAAGATAAAATACGTAGTCTTTTTTTTTTTTTTTTTTGCATAGCAAAATTCAAGTAAATATAATTTTTTAATTGTTCAAATAGTGTTTTTCTTCATTTTCTGAATGTTATTGTAAAATTTATTCTAAATATTATTGTGTTGTCCATCACCAAAGGAAACAAATGTTATGTTCTGGGTATTAAATGTTTCTGGAGCATAATGAAGAGGGATGGCTGTATAAGTCCTCTCCATGGTTTAAAATGCTGTAGATAAGAGATAACAAAGCTGTTAACCATGGTCTGTAGCAAGAGTTCTAACAAAATGTGAATATTTCACCATTAAAATAGTAACTTTAGTTTCTTTTTAACAGTTGAGAGAAGAAGAAGGTATAACATTAATTACCGAATCAAGGAGCTTGGCACACTCATCCCCAAGTCTAATGATCCGTGAGTTCAACAGTCTTTCCTATAATAATGTTTATCATTTAAATACAGGAAAAAAAATCATAGTTGCATACTGGCCGTAGGACTGTCTGATGTAATACAAAATGGTTTGTGCCAGGCCACTAGCTTGAATCAGTCTGTTAATGGCAAACTTCTGTCAGATTTCTAGTGCCTGTTGGGAAAACTTATGTGAAAGGATAATAAAATAAAAACAGTACTGGTGTGTCACACACCAGGAAGATGGAGTGGGGAAAAGATAAGCCAAAAACACCACAAGTCTGTGTGATATCTCTGGAGAAGGAAGGAATGATGCTTTCAGCCCTCACCATGGGCCCTCTAGTGGGGTAAGACAAAATATGTGCTGTCAATATCTGCCCTTTGGCTAAGCAAAATAAATAAATAAGCAAACAAAATATTAAAATTCAGGTTAAGAGACTGCACACTGGGCATTTTTCAGAAGTATTCCAGTCAGTGGAGGAAAAAAAAAAGTCCTGAAAAGCAAGGCTAAAAATAATAATTGATATAATAATAGCAATTTATACTAATGCGTATACTTACAGTAATACAAAATGTACATTTCTTAAACTGTATCTGCATTTCCTTCAAGCTTATATTTGTCATCAATATGAAAAAAAAATCTGCCTCAGTAGGAAATACTATTGTACGATTAGCAGTAGCAATTCAGTGGGTTATTTAATGCTAGACTTCAGCCTTTGATATTTTATGTCGCTCAGGGAAGATTTAAGACCATGTTTGCATTTTGCATAAAATTGATTATACACATTTGTTCTTTATCATTTGCATGTCAGTACAGACCTGCACTATACTTCGAAGGAAAACATCTATTGATATTTCAGCTTTTTGTTTTCTTCCGGACTGAGAAACTTTTGATTATATTAAGGATTTCTATAAGACTATAAAACACTGTAAGACTTAGATATAGACAAGATTGGCAAAACTAGACATTTTGAGTGAAATCATCAGAGAGAAAGTTAACATGTCATTACTCTTTGAGAGAATTCACTTTTCATTCTACAGCATCCATTCAAGATTAGATAAATAGGCACATTCTTGTTATTAATATAGGTCTGAGTGTTACAGCGTGCTAAAATAAGAAGTACTTTGAGTGTCCACATAAATTTTTGGACGCTTGTGATCACCTGCAAACAAACACTGGTAAAAGAATTTTAATTTTGCTGGCATATCGTTCAGTATTCAAGGCCATTTGGGCAAATAATTGAAAGATTTCTCAGAAAAACAGTGGATGGCACTGTTGGTTTGCAGCTATAAAGTGATAATGGAAGCAAGTTATATTGCAATTAGAAATGAGCATGAGGTACAGTTTCTAGTTGTAGTTTTGATTACCTACAGAGGTGCTTCAGCTACATGTTTTTGATCTGGATTCCAGTTTTAATTTGTTCAAATTGTTAACAGTCATTTATAATGTACTTACAATGAACGCTCCAGAACTGCAATTTTATTCCAGTAAGTGGATGATAGATTTTACTTACTGATTTTGGAGATGTAGCCTTGGATCAAAGTTTCAGAAAAATATTCTGACTGCATCAGCTTTTCTTGTTTTAGTCTCCAGTCCCACGATTGTGTCCAACAGAGCATTGGCGCTAGAAGAGCTTATGTCTGCAAAAGCAAAAAGCTCTAGGTTATGAGGATTGCTGTCTTCAAAAGGCTGGTAATTGGTACTACTTTTAAAAATGGGCCTATTTTAAAGTGTTCGTGTTGGTATTAAGAAGAAAGAAGCATCAAATATGCTGGACACAATGAAAGATGAAGTTATAACGTAATTTTGCTGCATTTTGGTGCCAAGTTAAATTCGTCTGAAGAAGTGTAAATACATTTTTATACATATTTGTAAGAGGAAATACATCAGTTTGACCATGTCATTTTGTTGGCTGAACAGATCAAAATTATTTATTTCTAGTATCACTCTGTGTTGCCAACTCATAACTCAGAGTCCTTATCTTCTCTTTCAGTTCTTTCCTTTTCCCTAGAATACCTTACTGTGCCCCCAATCTGCCCTCCTCTTCTTTGAAAGAAAGATGTATCAGCTCTTACAATATTTTATCTGTAACATTTTACCACACATCACATTTTCACCTTATATATTGATTTTTGAATATTCTTCTTATATTATAGTGGGAGTTTGGGTGTGAAGGGAGAAACCTTACTGATGCATGGACTAATGATAATGAAACAAAACAGCCTTTGCATTGAAGAGCAAATACTGCTATGACTAAGTCATTGTGGTTAGCATGCCTGTCCCAGATGACTTGCTTCAATAAGATTATGTTCAGACTCAGGAGTAGAAAAGGGCATTTTTGATGCTATTTGGAAATCTTTTATGAATCATATTTCTCAGAAGTTTTTTGTTTGTTTTTATTTTATTTTACTTTTGTTAGTTATATGGTGAACTTGTTTGGCTCCTACAAAGCCTCTACAGGGACTTGCTTTTGAAAAGATAAAATCCCTATTCTCTTCCTCTCCTCTTTACTATTTTTCAATTTAATGATGATAACTATGGATTATGTTGCTTGAATGAATAGATGTTTTAAGTTCACTTCATTAGCATTGGAAAATAGAGATAAGTTGGAAAGAACTTTGCTTCCTTTGTTTAATTTTCAGAGCTTAGATAGCTAAGTGATAGATGTTTCAGAAATGCAAAACTCTTGGAAAAATTTGAAGACAGAATAAAAAAGGCCCAAAATTTTAATCATATTTAGCTGAAAAAACAAAACTTTTTTTTTTTTTTTTTAATTATACTCACTTTTACATTCTTGATTTCTTCATGTTTGGCCTTTCAAAATCTGGTGGCTAACAGGGTGATAGAGGGTGGGAATAACAACTCAAGAACTGTTTTAGGTAGATAGACTGGAATTGTCAGAAATACTGAGAAAAAACATCTTTCCTTCATGAATTCTTGTCGTTCTACCAAACCAAGATGCTAAAAGAACGTCTAAGTATTTTGGACAGAATTAGTGGATTGCTCTCACTCTGCTCTGTGCACCTGTGCCTGATGTTCTGTCTGTAGTCTGTGGGCAGACCTTCTAATGGCCAGCATGGCCTCATTTCTTGTAAAGGAAAAGCTTGTGTACACTCAAGCTATTATAAAACAGAAACTTGCTGCCTCTTTCAGGAGAATACGCTTGGTAATTGTACAGGTCATCAAAACAGGTGCAAAGTCCTTCAAAGTGTTTCTTTGAACAAGCTCAGTTTAAAGCTAATTTCTCAGAAGTAGAGAAATAAATGGTCTGCAAACATAGTTTCAACTTCACAGATGTATTTGTTATTATTAACTTCTCTGCAGCTAGCAAACCCTGTGACTACTGCGCGCTCCCAAACTTTGCTTTCATTACTTAGTTTTAATCTTAGAAGATCGGGTGCTCATGTCCCTCCTCCGGATGTCCTTCAACTTGTAAAAGCTAGTGAAGCTCCTTTGACTTCAACAAAGATACTTTAATGGAAGCAATTTGAAAATTAGTCTAATGGCTGTGTTTTGTTTTTTTCTCTTCTCCTAAGTGAGCAACTCTCCCAGATAAGAGTTTCGCTAAATTTCTGGGCCAGATTGTTTCATAGAGAGATTTAGCTGATAAACTTAAGAGGAGCTAGGGTTCAGACTAATAAAACACTTTGTGTATTTTACTCACTTGCTACTTTTCCATGCCAATCATATTAAGCGTGGTAGACCTATATTAATTAAATTAATGCCTGTAACTTTCTTAAAGTTTCAAATTATTGTAACGTGTAGAAAGACACAATTCACTTGAAATTAAGTAAAAACCTGTGGTAATTCTAAGCTCTAAATAGCATACTTATACCTGAGATGTCACTGGAGATTCCCATCTTGAAAAGTTATTGTCTTCCTATCTTTAGCTCTTTGTTGTTGTTTAACTCAGAAGGCAGCTCAGCACCACACAGCTGTTTGCTCACTCCCCATAGTGGGATGAGGGAGAAAACAGGAAACAAAATAGAACGAATGGGTTGAGATAAAAACTTTTTACTAAGACAGACAAAGAAATTAAAAGTAAATGCAATGATAAATATATATACATATATTGTCCACATAATTAATGGCCACCCACCAGCCAACACTCAAGTAACTGCTGATCAGCAGCCTGCTTGCAGTGCAACATCTCACCACCCTCTGACTGGTGCACAGCCAATTCCCAAGCAACATCTGCCCCCTTAGCCAACTGCCCACAGTTTTAGAGCTTTCTGCATGATGTGGCATGGAATAATCCCTGGCCTGTTTTCATCCAGCTGCCCCAATTTTGCCCTGCGCCATGTTCCCATGCCTTGTTGGTTATGGCCCCTTGTCCAAAGAGTTGCCCAGCCCTGGGCATGTGCAAATTTCTGAACCTCCATAACGGTTTCTCATCTATGTAGTGCATCAGAAAAAGCCAGATGGTCTAAATCCCCAGGTCCCATACCTGTCTACCATTTGCCCTGTACATTTGGCAGAATGACAGCTACTTTGGTGGAGGCCTTCAAGAGTTCTTTCTTACCTTTGGGATAACAGTGTAAGTTTCCTTGGCCGTTTTGAGAGCCTGAATTAAAACCATAGATACTCCTACAAGAACTAAATCCATTTAACACCACAATTTTACTTACTCAGATTGTGAATAGAGTCAAGTCTCATTAACTAAAACAACAGAATAATGGAAAGTGGTAACTGACAAGGACATAATTTATATTTCTTCTTGACTCTATAAATATCAGGGTATAAGTGTAAGTATTTGGAAGAGATACTTAAAAAGAATGCACTAAGTTGATTACTTCTCTACTCCAACTTCAGATTCTAACTAGTTTGAATATCTTTTTCCCTCTTGAGCCTGTCTTATAGGACCAAAATGTCTGTAAGTCAAGATGGTTAATTTTAAGCTACCTTGCAGTGAAATAAATAGTTTAGATTGACTCTTCTAAATTTAACGCAACACTAACTATCCTTGTGTCGTAAAATAATGAACTTTGTCAGGAATTCATGATTTTCAACAAAATTTATTCCTATTAAGGCCTCTAATATGTTTCATGAAGGAATACATGGAAAATTAATAAGTGGATATGTGAAACTCCTTGAACACATGGTACATTTGAACAAGTGCGCGGTTAGTAAGACTTCTTGTAAGCTGGTAGTTAAAACATGGTTTTCTGAATGGGAGATGGGTTAATTTTTACTTTGAATTGGAATCTGGTATTTAGCTGTGAATTTTAACTTGAGTTATGTTGTTCCAAACTTGCTGAAGCAGTAATTTTTGTCATACTTCTGCCATTGTGGTTACCAAACCATGATTTGTGTAGTCTATCATCAGTGAGGAGTGGCACTCAGCACAGACCTTTTTTTTTTTTTTTTCTCAACAAGCTTAAAAGCAACCTCATTAGTAAGTCAGGTAAAAAGAGTAGTATATTTGAAACGATCTTTAAAAATTTAGGCTTAAGTCCTCAGTAATGTATATTTCCTAGTTCATTAATGCAGAAATACTGCACATAGATTTTAATCTCAGAGTTAATAATAAAAGCAATTTTCACTAAAAATATAAAAACTGTAATGGTAGAATCATGATATTGCATTTAGCTCTCCCACAAAAAGTCACTTTATTACTTTCTTTTGACACTTATTTTCATTCTGGGATTAATTTTACTATATAAGGGCTTCTTAACTATTCTATTAAAATTTCCATTCAGAAGCAATAATATCTAAGAGTGAATAATAGTCATGTAAATCATTATTTCATATTAATGTAAAAGATTTTGTAAGTTCTTATGAATTCTGCTGACATGCACAATTGTGAAAAGGTTATCTCTACATTCTGCAGTGATATGCGCTGGAACAAAGGAACTATTTTAAAAGCATCAGTGGAGTACATCAAGTGGCTACAAAAAGAACAACAGAGAGCCAGAGAATTAGAACACAGACAGAAGAAATTAGAGCACGCTAACAGAAGACTTCTACTCCGAATTCAGGTCTGTATGAGGGAGTTGTCATGAACTTCAAAGCTTTCTCAGTATTCCTACCTCATCAAATTTTATTAATCTGTATCATTTTTTTCCCAAATGTCACTTACAGCAAAGCCATTTTCCCTGTTTATTGCGGTGTAGATTGAGGAAAGGATATATTTTCAGATTTCTAAGAAATGCCTGTGATCATTATACCTTACATAAAGGAATATGTGGAAAGTTAATAAAGTATGTGTACAAACAGTATATATTATGGACTAGGAAGGACAAAAAGGAAAGCAAAAGGTACATCTCTTGTGCCAAAAACACAATACAGGACTTAAAATTCCTTTCTGTGTTTTCATTTTCTTCTGTATTTCACATTAAAGTTCTTTAGGTATAGTGTGCAATGTTGTATCTGCTCTTGACACAAATGAACATGATGTGGTGGTGGAAATGCATATATGACTATGCACACATGCAATGATGACTTAGCTAGACAAAAAAATCAGTCATCTTATGTATTGTAATTTACAGCTATGTATGTATATTGTGAGAAATGTGAAGTAAAATATCCTCTGCATCTTTGGATAGCAGTGCACAAAAAGTTTGCAACAGTTTTCTGTCAGTTTTGTTAAGTAAAGAAGGCAATGATTTCAGAAAACCTCTCGTGCATCTTGCATTCCCGCAGGAGAGCTGTTTAATGGTGAAAATGGAATTAAAAGGAAAACTAACAGGTGGCTCAATGCAGATTTTCATAGATTAATAATTTTGTATTTTACAACATAGTTTCACAGTTGGACAAGAAAAATCTTTAATTTGCATGTATAGTCTGTATACTTATCATGGTAGTTCTGAAACATTATTTCTCTTCCAAAGTCATTATCTAATTATCCTTATTTATTTATTCATTTATTTATTTGTTTGTTATTTATTTACTTAAACTTTAGGAACTAGAGATCCAGGCACGTGCGCATGGCCTTCCAGTCATGTCTTCACTCAATGCAGTAGATTTAGCTGCTCAGGTCACCAAGCAACAGTCATATCCAGAGGAGAACTCTGTAGACTACTCTCATCAAATGCCTCTGGCTCATGGACCAAATTCTGATGTTTGTGATGGATCTACAGCCTTTTCTGATCCACTTTCCCACTTCACCGATTTGTCCTTCAGCGCAGCTCTAAAAGAAGAGCAACGACTAGAGGAAATTTTATTGGATGACACAGTATCACCATTTGGAGCAGACCCTCTCTTGTCCTCCACATCCCCAGCTGCATCAAAAGAGAGCAGCAGGAGAAGCAGCTTTAGCACAGATGATGGAGACGATTTATAAAAGCAGAAAGGGCCTCGCATTTCCTTGAACCACTTGCTAACAGACTGAGTTGAACATAAGCATGGTGTGTGTGCTTGTTCCAAATATGAATATGGAAAACCACTGTGAAGATAACAGGCAAGGCTTAAATCAGCATTTACTTCACAGGAAAAGGAGATATACATGGATTCAGATCACTGTGCCCCAGATTCACATCATCTGTTCACAGCTGACATTTGCACAAATCTTTCTTCCCTGGAAACCTTTTTACTACTGTTCCACGACTTTTTATAGCAGTATGAAAATGCTTTCCACAAAAGGAATGTCTGTGTTACACAAACGTGTTCAGACTCTGTCTTCAGTCTGCATTTACATTTATCTGTTATATATGTGCTGCTTAGTAATTTGCTATTTTTTTTATAACAATGAGAATATTGTGTTAAAAATTCTACAAAACATGAGAAACAGTAGGAGAATGTGTAAACTGGGAACTGTAGAATGATACATGTTTTAAAATCTGAAAAAAAAAAAATAGTAATTCATTTGCACAAGTGAAGTGAGCATGAATTTAAAGCCACATAGATTTCCTGTAATGATACAGGAGAAAAATAGAAACTAACATAATGACAGAAACACAAAGAAATCCAAACAGAAAAAGGTGATGTTTCAGTAGAAAGTGTTTAGAAAGACTGTGGATGTACAAGACTGAACAAAGATATTCCACATTACCATCAGCACAATTTAAAACAAATACTACTGGTAAAAGTGCTGTGTCAGCTGCTTATTCCAAGAATAATTAAGCTGTATCCTTCTTGATGTGGAAGAGATAAGAATATGCAACAGTGTGCTTCTGGACTGTGCTTCCAGAGCTTTTTGGGAGCACATTAAGGTTTTTCTAAAGGGAGTCTGTCTTTTCCATAGCTATGCCTTTGCATTGTTTGTGAATAGAGAGAATTGGCCAGATTTCCATTATACACATTGAAACAATGGTAATTCAATTTCAAATTTGCCTTTGCAATCACTATAGAAAAGCAAGTAAGACTTCAAATCAAAGGAAATATTTGGAAGACTTGATGCGTTTTCCTGGAGTACACTAAGTGCAGTCATTCTAATTGTAATATTAACATGCAGAAAATAAGCTCGTACAAGTTCTTCATTGCTCTTCCTCCACCAGCATCAAAAGAGCATATTTGGGAGTTTTCTAATCATTCAAAATATATTTCAAACGTATGTGTTAAGTTTTGCAGTCACTGAGCCCTGCTTAATTTCCCAGAAATTCGCCTTTTCCCATTGAACTTTTACATGGGAGGTAGACCACAGTTCTGAACTATATTGACTTTAAATAACATCTTGAGTTTTATGACTATTATAAGGACTGCTCTAAAAAAGCATTATAGTTTTAAAAAAACTTACAGTTTTAAAACATCCATTAAATGTTTTAAAGTTGATTTTCATTCTTCTGGCAGTTGCTTCAGTCTGAAGCACCAGATTTTTCTTTCTCTTCCAGCTTGAGAAACCTAGCAGGAGGTAGGAAATGCTCCTTCTGCTATTGCATTAAGCACACTCAAGCTGTCTTCGTTCATACAGTTTCCAGCACCCTCCTCTCTGCAAAAGCTAAATGTATCCATGCCTGTGGGTGTGTATTATGATGATGATGTTTCACTACCATTACGCTGTTTTCTAGAAGGAAGTGGTCATTAGTGTTTTCCCTGTATTGCACCATCATCCTTGAAATGGTGATACAGGCTACCAAAAATGATACACCAGGGCACCACACGCTGAAGATATTGATGAGATCTTTGTGAGGGTAACTGTATCCCAGGTTGTTTTGAATAAGCATCCCCTCTCCCACTTTGATGTGGTGAGACTGCTGTGCAGCTGGGAAGGCTGCTGGAGGGCCAACCAGAACACAGTGCCTTCTGGCTTGCGCAGAGGAAAAGGATTGCACGACTGCAGCAACAAACCCTGATGTCCCTCCTCAGGCAGAATTTCTCTCCTGTCCATGAGAGTTTTACTGGACTAAAATGTAGTGTGCGCAAAACACATTTTTAGCTCTTCCCCAAATCATACAGATCCGTTTAATGAAATCCCATGAAAGAGATGCATAATTTGTCCATGGCTCTGGGTCTAGAAAAGAATTTAAAGACGTACAGAGTTTGACCTCAAGCAGGGCAGGGGGTGAGGAGAACTGGCTATTTTTGTCAAAATGTATTAAATGATAAATGATGAATTCTTGCTTGTTTTCAGTAGCAGCTGTTCAGAGCTGGTGGACACGTTCTTACAGAATACACAAACTAGCAGACCGATAATTACACAAAAGGAAAAGGGAGCTGAAATACTAACATCCTGTTTAATTCATGAAATGGATATGGATACTATCCTAAGAACAGAAACTTAGATTATTTCACTGTGCATAGCATAGATGGTGTGAAAAGCTACAGCAAGTGCAAACGGTTTTAACAAACAGAATACAGTTGTTTTATGTATTAAAGTAACTAAATATAATTCACTCATTTAATCTCAATAAGAACACTGTTACTGTAATACCTTTTGACTTTAATAGGGCTGTATATATGAATGGAGGATGTAAAATTATTGTAATTTAAAATTATGTTAAGTCTCTTAGATAAGTAAAGGCATTTACATTACTATTATGAGACTGTAGAATATTTTTATAATAATTGCTATTTTTCATTGTTAACCATATAGTATCTTGTTTTCTAAGTCAATGTATGCATACAGAATGTACTTTATTACACGCTGTATATGCAATCTTTTTCAAATTGCATTTTATACAGGCTGGTATTTTATGTTTATTATATGAATACAATTAAAGGACTGAAATTAAAACATCTCTTTATATTTCCCTTGTGAAACTTCGCTACCCAGTCCCACGAAGAATGCCATCACAAGACAATATAATAACATCCTCTAAGAGCACCTGAGATACTGAACAGACAAAACACTTCACAACTGCTAAACATTTAGTCCATTATGATACATCATGATCCAGTAGCCTCCCATTAATAAAAATAATTGATACATTCTTTAATATGGTCTCCTGCCATCTGCTTATTCCTGCTGCTAAGGCTTTGATTTATGGAAAGTGTTTTCAGAATGTTGCGAAATTGCTAGCAGGCATGATGATATCAGTTAAATCACTAAGAAGCTCTACAAAAACCTTTTAATGTACTAGATGTTCCCCAGACAATCTAGGATAAACAGAATATTGTATTTTAAGATGTAAAACGTTTTTTTAAAGCTGATAATTAGGTAGCATTTTGGCACTAAAAGATATTCTTTCTTAATGAATTGTGTAAGAATTTGGGTTGCTTTTTGAATTCCTAATATCAAAAGTGCTGCTTTCATTACAGTATATTTGGTGCTTTCTGTGCATGGCATGATGCAAATACTGTTAAGTAGTAACATATACTTCAGCTACAGTTTTGTAATAGCTCATTGTTTCTTGTATAATGGTGCTCATTGTTTGTGTACATCAGATAAACATTTTATTTGTAATAAAAATGCTCTCCAGAATCTTTATTTCATCAAATCAACGACATCCATATCAGCATTAAAACAGAATAATATCATAAATGTTATTTAAAGTCCAGTGATTAGCCATTGAGGGAAGCTTTGCTTTTTTTCTACACATTTATTATGCACTTAGGATTTGATCATAAAAGATACTCAGTTCCTTGTGAGGGACTCAGTTCCTTTGTGAGGGACTGAGAGCCCTCAGTTCACTTTGAAGAAAGGCAACGCTCAGCCTGTTGCAGGATCAGATTCTTAATGGCTGAATAAACAGCATCAGAAAATAAAATCAGAAGTTATTTCAAAGATCAGAAAAGCACACTGCTTGATTAAAAGTAGTGATATTTGCAATTGAGAGACAAACAGATTTGATGTCAGCATCATTTGTGCTGACAGCCAATGAGAGATCAGAGGAAAATGTATGAAGTTGTGATAATTATCAGACCAGAAGTCTAATTATAAAGGACGCTACGGTAGTGAAGTATGCTAAGGCTTATTGGTTAAATCACTAGTACCCATCAAGTTAAATATATATCAATTTCATTAATTGGCAACCACAAGACAAGTGTTCTATATTCAGGGTGGTGATGATTTTGATATAATCCACCGCATTGTGGTTAAGTATATGATTCATGTAATAAGAAAAAGATGCCTCCAGGCTATTGTTCCTAGCATGGATTAAAATTTACATATTGCTTCTCCTTATGTCAAAACATCTGGTGCCTGCAAATGCTAACATTTCGTTTAAAAGTTTCACAAGATAGGAAAAGTGGATTGGAAACACTGCCTGTGAATCATTCAAGCATTATAATGGAATAAGAGGCTGAGTTATGAACAGGCAGATTGAACAATAGTATAGTCAAAGAGATTCATATGCTTATGAGTTTGATAGGCAACACTTTGTACAAGGAGAGGAAATGCCCCAAATCATACAAAATAATGTTTGGGGGTATTTTATTTTAATTTATTTTTTTAATGTCATTGAAATAAATCATCTCAGTTCCTTTCCAAACTGCACTTTTTTTCCAAATAAAATCCATGTACGTAAGTGGATGTAGTTAGTGCTAAGATAATGGCTAATGCATTCATTTCATTCATGCATTTCAGTATGTTGGCATTCATTTTCCCTTCTGCTATGTAGTTTCATCAGAAAATTATATGACTCTTTACTTTTTCTATCTATAAATATATGTTACATCACTATATCAGTGTGTACATCAAGGTATATCTCAAAAAATTTGGATGATCAGCTATCCTAATGCTCTCAACTATGTGAAAAACCTGCCAGTCCTTGTACCAGCACTTAGACTTAAGATCTTTTATCTGTTGATTTCTAGATAGGGTGTTGGATATTAATTTTGAGGTATAAAAAAATAAATTTTCTGGTGCTAAATTACCTGAAAAGCCCCATCACAGGCTGCTGAAATTAGTGGAAGCCCTCTGTATGAAAGGAGGCAATGAAGATACTATTTTCCATGAATATTTCCCAGAGTACTTTCCCCTACTGACATCCAAGGAATAGCTAGGAGTGCATGTCTGTTCAGTGCAGATGGTGGCGATACATTCTATTTATTTGCAGTGTTCTTGCCTTCAGTGTCCACATGATTCCAAATTATTTAAATTTAGTATTCCACATTTGGAAAAATTCGTTAGCTAAATATTTCACATTGCCTTCCAAGAACAGACTGAATTAAAGCAGATTAAAAAATAAAGCCAGATTTTCTTTTTCAATTCTTTGCTGCTCCTTTTGCCTGTTGATGGCACTGTGGTACACCTGAAGAGATGGAGAAGCAGACTTCTTCAGCGTGTTGTTTCTACTTCCTGGCGTCTCACACAGTCAGGCCAGTTCTTGGAGCAGCCTGTGATACTCCTGATCAATTTGTCTAACTTCTTCATTTGTGAAAGAATATTTTTTTTAGATGCCCAGTTTTCGTTGTTTATCGCTCAACTCCAGAGCAGCTTTAAAATCAGAGCAATACTTCGTTGGTGGAAAATTTTTCCCTTGTTCTTCCATTCAAAATTTTGAATTTGTCTTTTTATCAATTAGTGGCACAGCCATATTTTCTCATCATTAAGGTGAGGAACCTCACCAAGAAAAGCTTCTGCATCATTCCAGAGCACTAGGAAAATTAAATACCTGGAATCATTGCAGAAATACCATTTCCACTGGAAAACGATTTCTACAGCTAACACACACAACCAGCTTGCTATAAAAACAAACCAACATAAAGCAATATAGTCATACTGGGAGGTAAAGTAAGCATGGTCAGCAGTAAGCACGGAACATACAATCAACTTTTGCAATAAAAATTTAAGTAGTGTTGTCTCCATTTGGGAATTTACACTTTAAATTACACCCAGTTTTTTTAAATTACACCCACTTTTTATTTATTTATTTATTTATTTTCCCCCAGTGGGTAAAAACAAGGGAAAACAAAGCTCAAGACAGCTAAATATAAGCTAAGGTGAAGACAGGGATTGTGGAAAACTAAAGAAGGTACATTCCTGATCCCAAAATATCACAAATGGATGCCAGTGCACTGAGGGAAGATCTCTCAAAGGCAAATTTGAACCTGAGAGACAGACAGGGGAGCCCCTTCCTTCAGGGAAAGAAAAGATGTTATTTCTGTCTCTCTTCAGGCTATTCACAGCTTCCATGTTAAGCTAGGAGTGCTGCTCCTCGCCCACCTCTCTCACATCACTTTTTCTCTCCTCATCTTTTCAAACTGTGCTAGATTCTGGA